GGCCCGCACGCCGGCCCCGTCCCGCCGCCGCCGCCGCAGTGCAGGCAGAGGCGCGCCAAGTGCTGGTGCTGCCGCTCGAGCCGCGCCGCGCGCGCGAGCAGTAGCGCGCCCGACGCGGCCGGCGCGGCGCGGCAGGGCGGGCACAGCGTCTCGCTCACGCGCGTGAGGCCGTCGCAGGCGGCGCAGTGGCGCGATAGATAGAACGAGTCGATCGTGTGGCTCGAGCCCGCGGCCGCCGCGCCGACGCCGCCGCCGGCGGCGAGCTGCTGCTGCAGCTGCAGCCACTGCAGCTGCCGGGCGGCGCCGCCGGCGCCGCTCGCAGCGGCAGGCGGCGCGTCCCCCGGGAGAGCCAGCGCGCCGAGGGGGCGCTTTTGGGGTAGCAGGCGGTTGGGCTTGGGCATGGCGGCGAACCATGATCTGACGTCGGCCCCCACGAGGGAGAGGACGCGGTCCAAGGCGGGGATGATCTGGGGATTGGGTGGCCGGGCGCCCAGCAAGGGTGAGGCTCACGTTTGGAGTGGTGCGCGCTGAGCGATGGCGGGGTGTGAAGGGGAGCGAGACACAAACAGCAGGGGTGCAGGAGGAACGGAATTCCTGAGAGGGCGATGCGAGGCATCGCAGGCGCCGCTGGGCCGCGGCGTGCCATCTCCGTCTGCGCGCACACCCACATCGTAACAACACAGGACAATCCCAAAGAGGCAAAGCAGCGCGCCCCCGTCCCTACGGGCAAGCATTCCCCGGCGATCTCATCGTCGACGCCCATTCAAAAGTGTGAGAAAACGGTGCCGTGCTGTACCCGCCTGGCGCGTGATGTAGTAGGTCCCGTTGAGCCGCAGCCGGCCCTCGCTGGCGAGCAGCGCGTGCGGGGCCACCGCCAGGTCCACCAGCCGTGCGTTGGGCTCCCCATACACCACCACGTACGGCACGCGCTCCCCGTGTCTGTTTGCAGAGCGAACAGGGGATACATCAGTTTCAAGGATGATGAGGGGGTGCAAAAATAGTGGGTTTGTGGGCGTGTGTGTGGCCGGCAGCAGGGTGCCAAGGTGCACGCGTTCTGGGTGGTTGAAAGTTGGTCGGGTTGAACTCGAGGGAGGTGAGGGGAGCATGGCAGGAGGCCTGGGGGACGGCATGGGCGGCACACATCCCCGGTCTGCTGTGGGCGGCGGATGCAAATTGCAACTATGCGAGCTTGGGCACACCAGGCGCCGGGGGCCCGCGACCGCAGCGCCGGCCGAGCTTGGCTTCACACGAGGGCTTTGCCACAGCAACCAGCATTGTTTGCTGTGCGGCCTCTTCAGAAAATAACACAGAACCTCTTGCTGTCATGATGTGAGTCATGTGCCAAGCTCGTCAAAGGACTCCTGATGCAGCAGACGCACACGCGCGCCCCAAAGCCTGGAGCTTCCCTCAAAGCCCCACACCATGCAGTGGGCGCCAGCGTGCTCGGATAGCAAATCCTGACACGCCCTGAACCCCAAATCTATCGATTGCCCGCGCCCACCTGGGCTCCGCGCGCGGGTCGGCTGCCATGGCGCGCGCCGCCACGACCGCCGCGGGCGGCAGGGTGGCGGCGTTGACCGAGTACGTCCCCAGGCGCACCTCCTTGCAGAACACAAAGTCCTGATTTGGGGATGGGGGTGGGGAGGGAGATCGCGTGTTGGGGTGGGGAGAACGAGTGATGGGGGCATGGATGAAGAGACTGAGTGCAGGGCCAAGGAGAAGATTGGTAGCGGCAGGGTTGACGTGATTGAGTGTGGGGTGTGGGGGTAAAGGGTGGGACAAGGGGGAATGAGACCTCGTCGCATCGGTTACCAGTGCCCCCGACTGGTGCTGTGTGGCACCAGGTGAAATCACGGCTGGGCAAGACGCAGCTGGGCCTGCGGCCGATCTTCGCATCGGCCGGCGGCTGGTTCAAGGCAATACGGTATAGAGCCTCCTCTCAAAGCCCTGCCGCACCATCCCAGCACGACCCCAGCTTGTTGGGTGATCAACAACCCGCCGCGGCGCGGCTCAACAGCCGACCGGTCGCCCGCTTTATGCAACGCGGCCGCCGCCATCACCGTCCCTGAATCCTCCGCCTCCTGCCCCCTCTCCCCTCCCTCCCCCCCCCCCCC